ACTCTGTCCGATTGGTCTGCAGTCAATGACTCTACCACACAACATAGCCAAAGAACCTACTCAAAGCTCTTGAAATCTCATAGATGGGAGGGAATATGTTATTAATCCACCATTGTAATGCCTTAAGAAAATCAAAGGTTTAATGTCTAAGAAAGATATGCTTTATGAATGAATTGAATGTAATTTTTAAAGTGCTTTTTAATGAAAGGGACCAACCACCTATGTGCAAATTTTCCTAGTCAATGAAACGAGGGTTTTGTCATTGTATTTAGAATGCATCCTTCCCTTTCTCCATATGTTTTTTATAGTGTATGCATAGATAAAACAAGTATTTCCAATACCTTCTGAAATTCGGCTGACCTCGCGATAAGAAAACTTAATTGACTATTATTCTTCCTGATCCCTGAGGTTAAAACAAATCCCAGAAATGTGTCCACAGAGCCTGTCTTTTTAGTAAATTCCCCAAGGCTGGGGAATATGAGTTCCCTCATGGAGGTGATATAGTCAGTAATCTGCCTGTTTCCTGTTCAACTGCTGAGCTGAATACGAATGGTGTCAGCATCACCAGAAATTCACACAGCAGTCTGGGTGAAGAAAAATGCAGCAAAATTTGACCAAGCTGAGGAAAAAAACAACTCCTGGATTCCTTGCTGAGGAAACATATCATGAATCTTTTCTTACAGGGACAGTTAAAAGACTATTTCTAAAGCATTAAAAAAATCCATGTCAGTGGTTTAAATCATGCTGAAGAAGTTTTGAATCAATATGTATGCAGATGGTCTTGACTTATGACCACAATTGAGCCCAAAATTTATATTGCTAAGTGAAGCAGTTAAGTGAATTTTACACCATTTTATGACCTTTCTTACCACAGTTAACTGTACTTCCTAGGTTGGTAAAATGGTTGTTAAGTGAATTTGATTTCTCCATTGACTTTGTTTGTCAGAAGGTTGCAAAAGGTGATCACATGACCCTGGGACACTACAACTATCATAGGTATGAGTCTGTTCCAGTGGTGGGATTCAAATTTTTTTACTACCGGTTCTGTGGGTGTTGCTTGGTGGACATGAACAACATGAAAGGATTTGTTGTGATAAAAATTATAGTTACTGCTAGCATATGTATGCTCTGCTGAAAATTTTTTACAAAACTCAATCACCCTGAAAGATGAGTCTTAAAGGAATGTGTGTTTCCAATAATTTCACAGAAAGCTTAAAAACAAAGAATTTGCAAAAAGGAATTTGTGAAGGAAGAACAATCATCATTGTTTGCTGATGACACAACAGTGATTGGTCTCATTCGAGACAATGATGAATCTGCATACAGACAGGAGGTGATACAACTTGCCTCATGGTGTAACCAGAACAATCTGGAACTGAACACATTCAAAACCATGGAAATGGTGGTAGACTTTAGAAGAAACCCTCCCATACTACCACCTCTTAGAATACTAGACAACACAATATCAACAGTAGAGACCTTCAAATTTCTAGGTTCTACTATATCACATGACCTAAAATGGACACCTAACATCAAAAATGCCATCAAAAAAGCACAACAAAGAATGTTCTTTCTGCGCCAACTCAGAAAGCTCAAACTGCCCAAGGAGCTGCTGATACAGTTCTACAGAGGAATTATTGAGTCTATCATCTGCACTTCTATAACTGTCTGGTTTGGTTCTGCAACCCAACAGGACAGACACAGACTTCAGAGAGTAATTAGGACTGCAGAAAAAACAGTTACTACCCACTTGCCTTCAATCGAGGACCTGTATACTGCACGAGTCAAAAAGAGGGCTGTGAAAATATTTACAGACCCCTCACATCCTGGACATAAACTGTTTCAACTCCTTCCCTCAAAATGACACTATAGAGCATTGCACACCAGAACAACTAGACATAAGAACAGTTTTTCCCCAAAAGCCATCACTTTGCTAAACAAATAATTCCCTCAAACCTGTTCAACTATTACAAAGTCTGCACTACCATTACTGTTAATCTTCTTATCACCCATCCCCTCCCACTTTTGATTGTAGGACTGTAACTTTGTTGCTTGTATCCTTATGATTTATATTGACTGTTTCTTAGTATGATTTGATTGCTGATTGTACCCTATGACTATCATTAAGTGTTGTACGTTATGATTCTGGATTCTTAACGAATGTATCTTTTCTTTTATGTATACTGAGAGCATTTACACCAAGACAAATTCCTTGTGTGTCCAATTACACTTGGCCAATAAAGTATTCTATTCTATTCTATTCTATTCTATTCTATTCTATTCTATTCTACTCTACTCTACTCTACTCTACTCTATTCTAATCTATCATACAAATTAATTTTAAAAAGGTCTTCTATGGAAGAAATTAAATTTAAACTGTATCAATCAGATGACTAAAGAGTCTATTCTTTTGTAGAAATGGAGATTTAAGTTTAAGTGGGATGGCAGAAGTTATTTGTTATTGGATTCCCTTCTGTGATCCTCTTTTGCATCAAGGTCCAGAAACCAATATACATTATCTTAGGAGCTATAGAACTGTACCTTTGGTGCACTTTATATATGCCTACGTTTCTAAGTTCATTCCCTAGTACCTCCAGGAAGTGATGCAAAAGATTGTTGAGTGGAATCTTGTAGAATGGATGTTGCACAATGGGGACATTCCTAAGTTGTCCCAATGGAGACATCCCCAATGATATGAAATCATGGAAGGAAAACACAGAAATATATATTTGGAGCATGTGGTCACTTAATGTATTTCTTGAAAGGATCAGGACAAACCACTAGTAAGACCTGGTTCAGTACTGAAGAACAATGTGGTGTATTTCCAAAATATATTCCAAAATTTTATGTTAGTTAGGAAAATAACTGCAGAATGCAAAAGTTGGGCCTCTTATCAAGTACGCAATTTTTAGCAATTAATTACACAACTGACTTTAAAAATAGACAGGAAGTTCTCAACTTACTACCACAAATGAACCCAGAATTTTGATCGTTAAGCCATTGCGATCATTAAGCAGGTCACCATACGACCTGACTCAATGTTATGACTCTTTTTATGATGGTTGTAAAATGATTCACCATAATCATTAAGCGAATCATGTGATCATTAAATGAATCCAACATAACCAATGGGCTGGAAATCAGCAAAAAAGTCACTAATTACAGTTGTAAATGGAAGCTGTTTTGCTAAGCACCTGAAATGCCATCATATGACTATGGTGTGTCTGTTTATGTGTCTATGTCTCTCTCTGGGTGTGTGTCAACTGTAACTTCAGTGGACAGGTCATAAGTAGCTTTTCTGAAGCCCGCCATAACTTTAAATGGTTGTTAAGTGACTAGCCATTCAGCAAGGACTACTTCATTAGGGTACTATGCTGTGCCATTACCTAAGGCTCCATGACATTTTCATTTTTCACCTACATTCTTTTCTATTCCTATTGCAAAGTTTGAGCTTGCCAAAACAACTAGACATATGGGCTGTTTTTCCCCCTATACTATCACTCTGCTAAACAACAAATTGCCACAACACTGTCTTATGCCCTGGGATGTCAAACCACCTAGTAGGACTGTATTACTATTATCCTTCTCATCTTTCCTGTTAACTATTTTCTTAGCTTCTTATGATTATAACTTTATATGATTTATGTTGATTGCTTATATAGTATCCTATGACTATCACCGAGTATTGTATTTTATTATTTATGATGATTGTATTTTAAGATTTTGATCATGAATTATCTATCACGTTGCTTGTATGTACACTGAGAGCTTTTCCATAGGAAACAAATTCCTTATGTGCCCAATCACACTTGGTCAGTAAAGAATTCTATTATATTCTATTATATATTTGTAACTTACTCTTTTCAAAGGATAGGGAAAAGCTTTTTCCAGAATTTTGAAGCTGAAAATTTAGATACTAGATCAAAACAATGGAGTATATAAAAAAATTTAATGTAGTTGCACAGTGATATATATTCTCAATTTACCTTCTTGCAACTAAACACTTCTAGGTGTAGTAGCCGGAAGACGACTGATAAGAAATGGAAAAGAATTAAAGAAACCAGATACTTTCCAATTCTACCTTATACTGTACAAGTGCAGGTACTTCTTATCTTCACTTGTACAATATAAGAATATTGATTCTCTTATTATTTGCAAAATTTCCATTATTCACATGAAAATATTGTAGCTATATTAATCTTACTGTTTACATTACAGTCTCTCTTCTCGGTAGAATAAATGCATTTTAACTTCTTCACAAATGTAAAAAGGCATTCCAATACCATATAATATGGGGATATCAAACTCAAGGTGTCACAGCATCACTACGTGATGTATCACAACTTTTTTCCCCTTTGCTAAACTGGGTATGGATGTAGCCAGCACATGACACATCCGTGGGCCGCAAGTTTGACAGCCCTTATGTAATATTTAATGCACAGGTTGTCTAGGCATTAAATAAGCCAATCAGTAGAAAGCACATCTAATTCAGAGTGAAGTAGGTAGTTTTAAACAAACAAAAATGTACAGGTTAGAAATGTATAATTCTGAAACTCTGCATAATATATTCATGGTAATTATTTAACTCTCTAGCTTAATGTCAGTAGAATTTTTTTTTGTTTAATTAAATTTACCTTCAGTGCTATGCCTCGGATTGGAAAATTGAAGAACTGGCATTTTAAAATGCTTTCCAGAAATATCAGCATTATTTATCAATTTCAATATATGTTAAAATCTGAGAAGGACTGACCAATCAACATTAGGAATACATGATTTGATTTCTATTATCACTGTATTGACTGACATTTTTCTTCAATTCACTCCGCTTTACTCCATGAAAAGGAGTTTAGTAGAGCGTAGGGAAAATTCATATCTAAAAGTACTAGTAACTTCAACTCCCAGACCTGGCTGACTCAAATTATGGGACTGGCACTTCTGACTCATCTACCCATTGTTAGGTTTTGGGAAGACTAATCTAAGGAGCTTGTCAGTAACTATACCTTGGTTTGACCAGCTTTTGTTATCCTTGGTATGTCAAACAGCTGCCCAGTGTAGTACTGCACCCCACTGAAAAGAATTACAGCAATTGTGTCTCCTTCCTTCTCAATTATATCAAGGATATCTTCAGTTCTCAAGGTTTCTTCTCCCTGAAATAAAGTTAGAACATATTTTATATCAGCCCTGGAAGTAATGGAATTGTCATTTTTATTTCATAATGTATTTTTTACGATATGACTTGCTGAGTGTAGGAAGCCATCAAAGACAAATTCTTAAAATTGCAGTGAGATACAAAACTAGGAACCCCGGAGAAGCTTTTAAATAGGTAAGTCATCATTACCTTAAGCTTTTGAGTTTTTTTTTTTTAAATTACGGTTCATTTTGCTTCCTTATATACTTTACTTATTTGCCTGAATACTTCAAAGTGGAATTAATCATTTGGATTTTAAAAAAAGATACAAAGAGGTGGACAAATGTATAGCTCCTAGAACTTTTCATGGAGGGGTTGTATCAGTGAGAATTATTCATTATAAGTTTAAGGAATTTCTGCAATGGAGGAATAGTTGCAGAAGACAACTACACCTTTAAGTCTCTAATGGGAGCTCAGTGGAGAGAAAGAGAAGGGGGGAGGAGAAGGGGGAGGGGGAGAGACTACATTCCTTTCCCCCAACAAGAATGGACTGTCCCACTGTGTAACTTCAATCGCGTAAAGCAAAGAAATATATATATTACACACATTCCTAATTTTCAAACTTATATTAAGGTTTTGCTTCTGATATGCTGCATTTGCTGGAATCATTTTTGTAGGCTGGTCTTTTTTCTCTAATAAGTGGCTTTGCAGGAATTCCTCAATTTCTCTGTGCTTGTTTAACTAGTTTTCAAGTTAGCTTGTGGGAAAGTCAAGTTCAGCCCCCTTGATTCTTCTAACATGCATTTATAGTCTTCCTTCCTATACTTGAAATCCATTCCTCAATGCCCTGCCCTTTGGAGTGTTAAGGAACAGCTTTTGACTTTTTCTGTGTGAAATTCTTTCAGCGATTGAAATATGCTCTCCTACCCCTCTTGAGTTTTCTGTCCTCAAGGTCCAGCTCCTTTGACTTCCTTCATAAAGATTATTCTCTCCACCTCTGAAATTTTTCTTATTTTTTTCCAGTTTCTCTGAATTGTTAAAATTAATGCTGAGAAGTTGACCTAATAGTAAAGTTATGTCAGCCCAATACTTAACCTTTAAACTTTTTTATAAGGACTTCCAAGAATCCATGTAAAACATTCACAGCACTTAAAAAGTGCTGTGAAAATACCAAATATAATTTTACCAGTATTATGAAGATAAATCATTGTGATTATTGGTGAATAGGATTTTGCAAAAAAACAACTATTGTTAGGGGACTGAAAAGAAGAAATGGTTAATAAAAGAGCCCAGGAGTAAATGGAATGAATGAATATATCTTTTTTTTTTTCCTGTCACACAAAGTTCTTATTTGGCAACCTTAGGGTTTAATTTTTTTTTGCCAAATTCAGCATGCAAACAACAAGATTAAAAGATTATTAACGGCACCAAGACTGAAGCTAACTGATACATTCCTCTTGATACTTTCAGAAACAGCCCATATCCCACAGAAAGCTATTAAATGTTTCACTCAATGTTATTTTTATTTCAGAACAATAAGATTCAAATAATCCAAAGATGACAAAACTCTGAAGTTAATAACTAAAGAAAAACATTCAATGAAGAAAAAAAAACACCCCAAGATCTTTTGATGCTTTAAAGCCAAAATCATTCCAACCCTTCTTTACTTCCTCACTGCAAGAGATGATGTAAAACATATCATCACCAAGGGATCAATTAAGCAACGCAAACTTCAAATTAAGTTAAATACATCACTGCAAAAAACTGGCCTAAGATTTACTAATTTGAAAGTAATTTCTATTATCATTAATTATCTTTGAACATCTATCAAGAACTTGAGAAGAGTTTCTTCGCTGACAAACTTTTCTTCTGGAATCAAAAGGTCATCAGCCGTTCTACTGAAAAGTACTAAAAGTTCTTCATGTCAAACAACTGGAATGCATTTTTTTAATATAAATTTGGAAATCACTTCTTTCCTAACCAGAAAGTTTACCATGACTACTGCAGTAATACGATGACAATATTTCAGTCATAACAGGTTTTTGTTAAGAACTGTAGCATCTTAAAGTAGCCAAGGTTGAGAAACCTTGTACAAGTGTCCAATGCATGAATGTCTCATACCCAAATCATGTGGTTTCTACCTTCTGGTTATTGCCTCAAGTGAAACTACCCTGAGCATCACTTAAGAAAAAAAAAATTAAGCAGAGAAAACTAGAGGAACAGTACTCTTAACATCAGCTTTTCTTTCAGAAAGAAGTTAACAATAAATTAACGAATAAATGTATCTACCCTTGCTATAAAAGCATGTAAGCTACTGGTAAACAAGCTGCTGGGAATCACAGTCATCCTTATCTCCACATTTAGGAAGAAATTAATGTGAAGCTTATTAATATAAAATAACTTTATGTAGAACCCTTAAAAAAAGAAATTTGGGAGTTGTTTTCCTAGGGTTTAAGGATGAGGATGAGGATTATTCTCATCCTTGGGGGAGCAGTTATCCCCCAAGACTTCCTACTCCAATTTCTGACCAAAACCTGTGAAAAACCAAAAAGGGCCACAATTAGCCTGAAAAATTACAACCATGGAATGTTTTTGAGTTTCAGGAGGATCAAGCTTTTTGAAAATGTTTTCCTGACCATCTCAATACGCTACTTTAGCAGGAAAATATTTATTTTTTACCAGTCTAGTGTGGCAAATGAAGTAGATAATGAGGCAGCAACATTTCCTTCCTTAAAATCCATCTGTTGATTAGCTTTCATCATGAAAACTTTGTTCAAATTCAGCAGGACTGTGCTTTGGTCTAAAAATATATATTTTCCATATAAATAATTATAGGTAGTCCTCAACCTACAACCATTCAAAGATACAATGGTTCTGGGTGAATGCTGGTTATGATCGGTCTTCAGATTGTTGGCCATCCAAGCACCCCTGCAGCCATGAAATCACAATCTGTTCCTTTGGCACCAGTTCACACTTATGACGGGTTTGCAAAACACTGTGATAATATGATCACCATTTTCAACCTTTCCTGCCAGTTTCTCTAGAAAGTCTATTGGGAAGCTGGCAGGGTCAATCTCCCCCACCCATGCAATTAGCCTGAAAAATTGCAACCATGGAATGTTTTTGAGTTTCAAGAGGATCAAGCTTTTTGCTGAAGAAAAATAGTCTGAGTGAAATTTAGCCATTTTGCTGCCAAAATACAATGGTACCATTTTTTTTTATGCTTCAAGTGGTGCGCTGAGGGCTTCATACATGCCGAAGGCCCTGAGTGGTCTAGCATGAGGCAAACCATGTTCCACAAACCTTTCGTGGTTGAATCATAAGCATACTCTTCTCCCTATCAAGCCCATGAAACTGGAGCTGGGACTCAACAGCATACTGTGGAGAAAAAAAATGACTTTAAAAAAGTGAACAGATGTAAAAGCAAAACAAAAATCATTTTGTTATAAACAACAATTAATACATACATTTGGCTCAGGATACACAAAAGTCTGCATGAAAGAGTTTTACAGTAGATTAAATGACTGGCATTTGTGATTTAAAGGATGAAATAGTAGGCAGGGTGAAATGCCTGTCACTGTGAATCAGAGTAGATAATACTGTGTAAGACATATAAATTATGCTGGTATCAACCAGTTCCTTAGGTTCTAAAGATAGGAATACTGCTAAGTAACTGTCTTGATAAATTATTGTGTTATGACCTAGCATGTTTACAAAGACATATTTCAGGGCTACTAGACCTGGGATCAAATATCCATTGACCATTAGATGGTAGCAAAGAGTGTGCCCTCTTGGGATTATCTATATTTTTATAACACATACTAGGGATCCACACCATATGTGAAACCAGATAACCTGATACATAATCCCAGCGAGTGACAGCACTTGTCCAACCATGTCTATGGAGATTCTCAGTCATTCAGGTCATGTTGTCCCAAAAGTGCTTTTTTAAAAGACAACTGGACTTTGTTTTTCCTTAAAGACATTTCACTTCTCACCCAAGAAGCTTCTTCAGTTCATAAAGAAGGTTCAGTTCAAGAAAAATAAAAGTCCAGATGCCTTTTGAAAAAGCACCTTTGGGATGTCCAACTTTGCCTGTGGTTCTGCTACTGAGCAGGGTAGGGATCAGGGGTGGGATGCTACCAGTTCTGCTCGGTTCTACTGAGCCGGTAGCTCTGAAGAGCAGCAGACACCAAAACGGTTCTGTGTTTGCTCCTGTTTGGCCCAACGCCCTCCCGGGCGCTTACCTGTCCTTTATTTCCTGAGCACCTGCATGCAGCGCTTTTCAGCTGTCCGGGCAGCACAGCTTAAGGTTGTTTCACATGTGTGCGCAGCAAAACGTAGTCACACTGGTTGAATCCCACCCCTGGTTAGGTTTCCTAGGACTTGGTTTGGAGATTATCAGGAAATATCAGACCATAAAGGAGACTGGACAAAAATCATTGACCATCTTCTTGGACAGTTTAGGCAATGTCAAAAATGATGGATACTTTTGATGAGGAATAACCATCTGGGTTGCTCATTTCTCTCTCACTATGATTGCACTATGGAAGGCTAATTTCTTCAGATGTAATCTGCTTGCCTATCTGCTTCATTCCCATAGATCCACTAGCAATGCTGGATCATAGCCAGGGGTGGGATCCAACAGGGTTAACTACCAGTTCGGTGATTTACGATGTGCTTCCCTGCACGCTGCACGCGCGTGTAAATCTTCATCAGCTTGCCGCCTGGACAGCTGAGCAGCACTGCGTGCAGGGAAGCATTGTTTGAAAAAGCACTTTTTTCCTGCTTTTTCAACCATAGCTGTGCCTTGCACAGCAGCTGAGGTTGAAAAAGCAGGAAATAAAGGTCAGGTGGCTGGGCCAAAACAGCAGCAGACATCGAACAAGTTCTATGTCTGCTGCTCTTCAGAGCTACCGGTTCTACAGAGCCGGACAGAACTGGTAGAATCCCACCCCGGTCATAGCACAGAAAAGGCTCAATGGGAAGGTCTCCTTTTTTCTTCTAAGTCTTTCCTACTTTGGGAAGAACAAAGCACTATTAGAGTTTTCTTTTGCAGATGGAGTTACGAGGAAGAATTAGGACTGGATGTCTGTAGTTGGTATCCCATGTTATCATCAGCAACTTTTTTTCAGCTTTACAACTGCATTCCATATAGCACTTTAGATTTAATGGCCCTGTCACTGTTTGAATGCTGAATATTTGTAGTAATATTTTCCCCAAACATAGTATCTTGAAAAATGGAAGCTGTGTTATATGCAACTTATGAATGGCAATTAAGTATTTGTTGTAAAAAAAAAATCCAATTGATCTGTATTACCCCATATGATAAGTTTACTGGACGGAATGTTATAATGTTTAATTGAACAAATTTCTCATTAATTTCCAAGCATTTTGTTAAGTTTGAGATATCAGTGGTGACTCACAAAAGTGAAGATAAATGTGTAATAATCCGTGATGCATTGACTATTGTCCTACTTTGTAGCACACAAATGATGTTTGACTTAGTAATCTAAAGCAGCCTCAACAGGAATTTTTCTATCTGTCTGGGGATATAAAACTGTTAATGGTGTGAGCTTTGTATTGATTTGGTTTCATAAAGTAAAACAGCAACAAGAATTAATAAAACATTTACAACCTGTTGTTGATTTAGGTCAATAGCTTGCTCAGTATCTTTAAAAGACGAATCAATCAGTGTGGCAATTCAATCTTTTACTCCCATACAATTTTTATTTGAACAGCAACAACAAAAAAGGCCAATCAGTAAAAAAAAATGTCAATCTCAAAAGTATTGTGTTTAACTGGGAGTTTTAAGGTTTATTTAAAATAATAATTAAAATGTCCAATAAATAGTTTTTGCAACATACAAAATTGTATAGCATAAATATGTTGAAATATTAATTGCTTACATGATCAGAAGGAAATGCTTTGGCTTCTAAAAGGATTTTATGGCGATAGAACGTAGGCTTAAAAAATGTCAACTGTAAAAATAAAACAGCAGATTTATGTTATCTAAAATGAAACATTTATTAACCTACTGAAAAGATAGCAAGGGCAATAGCACATAGACTTATACTGTATATTGCTTCACAGTACTTTACAGCTCTCTCTAAGCAGTTTACAGAGTCAGTGTATTGCCCCCAACAATCTGGGTCCTCATTTTACCAACCTTGGAAGGATGGAAGGCTGAGTCAACCTTAAGCCGGTGAGAATCGAACTATAGCATTCCAACCACTGTACCACCATGGCTCTTATAAAGTAATCGATATATACAAGTTTCTCTTTATATCATACAATCAGATATCCAGATGTTCTATATATTTTCTTATAGGCAGTGAAGATAATTAGCATATTTCTCCATAAAGTTTTTTTTTACTGCAGAAGGAAATCAAATTACTTGAAGATGCTATAGGAATTCAAATGCAAAGCAACATTTTTCTCAATTTGCTTGCTGTATGGCAAATTTGTAAATTCTGTCCTAAAATAGGAATGGGCACATAGTGGCATCCCAAATGTAACCAAATTCCATCTACATTAACTAGCATTAACAAAAAAAGAGGGTTTATGAGTATTACAGTATATAATCTGTTGATATATTGCCTGATGTTTCTGTCTAACAAAAGAATTGTATAAAAAAACCCTCTTAGAACATATAAAATGGAATAATAAAATCTAGTATATTTCAGAATGTTACTTGGAGAATACATTAGAACAAGCTGTTCTAAGATATGTGCTATATATAAATACAGCATACATAAAAAAATTTCAGAACACTTATGAAAAGATGAGCTGCTAGATAGAAATGTCACTATATTATTCTGTTATGATCAATTTCTATTCAACATCTATACAAGATCAATGTATATACAGAAAGTAGTATAGTGTTTCTCAAAAAGTGCAGAAATGTAGTTCTACTCTATGTATCCCTAAAGTTTTGTGTTCCTTTCACTTCTGGAAATTTGAAAGAAATAACTCCATAGTTTCTTGACAAATAAGTTACTTTGCATTGTAATAGCTTCTGAAGAATGTCAGGGTAACAATCAAAATGTCACTTTAAAGAGGCACATGGAAGCAAGAGTTGTGCATACTTTTAAATTCTGTTTTAACTGCCTGATTAGAATCTGTTGATGTTATTTAGAAACCAACATTTTTTATTGTATGCATTTAAAAAATAAGCATATGCACTAACCACAGCTATCCATCTGGCCTCATTTGGTGCCATGGTACAGAGCCAGATTTAATTTCAATCATATCAAAGGCTGGGCATCACAGTTTGGACCAGAATCAAAAGATAGTTCTAGAAAAATTAGTTTCCCATTTTTTTCTCTAAATAATATGAGAAACTAACATGCCAAAATATCAAACAAAAAATAATAAAATAGGGGGGAAATGGGCCATAAATCACAGAGAAATAAAATTCAGTGAGCTTGGGCTAAATTTTCCAAAACAAACACTACATATAACCTATTTTTGAGCATGATATTTTAACATGATATTTAAGGTATACTTGCTCTTTCTACAAAAATCAAGCCTATCCTATCATAGACTTATATGAGCAGGAAGTTTGCTAGTTTCCTCTATTATCTGATAATTAAGACCTAGCAAACCCTCACACTGTTTTCATGTTCTGTGATACCAAATACCCAAGAGGAGGATGTACATAGGAGTTGAGTAGCTATCTTCTAGTTCTTTTTTGTAAGTACATGCTTGCATATCTTGTTTTAGGAAAAGTTTCCATGACATTTGAAAGCTAAGTATTGATTAGCTCCATGTCAAAGCACTTTGACAGCCCAAAATATTATTGCTATGATTTGAAGGCAAGCAATGAGTCACTTCATTCCATCACTACTATCACTCATGTCAATTTTCACCTTAGTGATATATAACACATCCTACCTTTTTTTTTTTTGGGGGGGGGGGTGTTGTTTGTAAACCTAGGATAATTATTTTAGTACATTACTCAGAATTCCTAAGCCCAAATACCAAGGGACAAATTTTAATCCAGCTAGAGGTAACACATTGTATTGTTCTCTCAACAGATGCACAAACAAATTCTGGACTATCCATTGCATAGTTTCACATAGCTAGACACTATGTAGGTTATTATGACTTACCATTAGGAGATGTAGATTAACTGTCAAACCATTCATTAATGCTACCTCCTCATTACGAGCCCCTGAAAAGCAATTTCACAGATGTTTCCTTATTTTTTTGCTTTTGTCCTCCACAAGGTCTGCTCCAATGATGTTCAAATCCCCACGATATTAGCTTGCTGTCAAAGTCTCTCTAATGACTGAAAGGTAAATATGTCTTGGATGTGTCACAATGGACCAATGAAATGAAAATGTTTTCCTGACCATCTCAATACGCTACTTTAGCAGGAAAATATTTATTTTTTACCAGTCTAGTGTGGCAAATGAAGTAGATAATGAGGCAGCAACATTTCCTTCCTTAAAATCCATCTGTTGATTAGCTTTCATCATGAAAACTTTGTTCAAATTCAGCAGGACTGTGCTTTGGTCTAAAAATATATATTTTCCATATAAATAATTATAGGTAGTCCCCAACCTACAACCATTCAAAGATACAATGGTTCTGGGTGAATGCTGGTTATGATCGGTCTTCAGATTGTTGGCCATCCAAGCACCCCTGCAGCCATGAAATCACAATCTGTTCCATTGGCACCAATTCACACTTATGACGGGTTTGCAAAACACTGTGATAATATGATCACCATTTGTAACCTTTCCTGCCAGTTTCTCTAGAAAGTCTATTGGGAAGCTGGCAGGAAAAGTTGCAACTCACCAGGGTCAATCTCCCCCACCCATGCATCTTCCCACAATCCCTCTGCCCTTGTGCCAAACTGGCCACTTGTACAACCCTGTGCACCCTCCCCAAATCTGTGTTTCTAATGCAACCTCCCCAATCTATATCCCTTGCACACCCCAATCTGTGCCATGTCTCCTGTGTACTCCTTCAGATCCTCCCTGACACACATCTCTTGTGCATCCTCCTCAACCCCCACATTTCTCACACACCCTCCCCACCCAACCCTCGTACACACTTGTTGATCCTCTCCTTCACTCTTCTGGTAGCAGCCACTTGCCTGCCACCCTGGGACTAAAACTTTCTGCTGGCTTCCTCACTGATTTTGGTTGTGGGAATCTGGCAAAAAGTTGTCTCGCCTATCGATATGGGATTTGGTTAACAACAGTAACTGGAACTGCAGGATTGTTGTTACTAAGTGATGCAGTCATAATTTATGGCCACAGCACAAAATGATGGAAGTTCAGGCCTCAATTGCTGTCATACATTGAAGACTCCAAATTGTTTTTTTGCTAAAGGCAATAATCTTTACTGAAGTGATCACTTGCAAAACACATGCTAATAAAAATGAAGACTTTGCTTAAAGCTTACTCAGAAGTTTATTACAGCACATATAAACACTGAGTTATAACTGGTTCCCAGCCCATAATCCAGAATTCTGATGTTATTAAAATGGATATAATAGCCATTACTAATAGATTTTACTAATAGATTTTCCCAACACATTATGAACAGCAAAATACATTCCAATTTCTATTAGTTGATCTGGTAAGAGAAAAGGACGAGTGAATTCATATTAAAAATGAAAGAGCAATTATCCCTCACAATCTAGATGAAAACATACCTGCTGATCAGGAAACACTTTTAAGAATCTTCTCATTTTAGTCTGATTTGTTAAGCACATTTTAAGGTGTGTTTCTCAAGAGAAAATAGCAGGAAAACCTGAGGGCTGATGATAAAGGTGGGATGTCGAAAGGGAAGAAACTGCAGATAATTTTAATGGAAAAAAACGTGGAGAATTTAAACAATACTACAGCTTCTCTGATATTCAGCAGTGGGGTTTCCACATAGCTCCCTCAAATGAAACATCTGCATACCATTTAAGAGATGATCAAAAAGCTAAAAGACCACAACACTCCCTTGCCAGCAATCCACAGAGAGATAGGCAGAGATTAACATCAAGATTAATGCACCACCAACCATTGAACAGTAACCAACAGCCCAATCAAAGAATCATCAAGACCACTCCGACCAATACTGACAGAACAAACCACTAGTAAATAAACAGAAATCAAATCCTACCCCTTTCTAGCACTGATGACATCACCTAGTTGTGTAATAAAACATCTGCAAGAAAACAATCAAGCTCAGAGAGTTCAATCCTGAGCTACATAAAGTCTTCTATTGAACATCTTAACAGCCTTGCTAAGAAATAAGAATGGCACCAATGGAGATATGTGATAAACCATTGTACAGGGCTGATCCAGACCTATTATGTTCTGAAGCAAACCTCTAAGCTTGTACTTCAGTCCGATTACAATTAATAACTGATATTGCGCAACCTACAGTTGCTCTGGGATCTTATGTGTTTAAATTTGGACCCCACGGCAATGATTTCTCCCTCCTACTTTGCAAAAGTAAAAATAACAATCACATGATCCTGGAACATCTTTATTAAGCCAAATTGAACTTAAGAAGACTAGTACAATTTCAGAACTACATTCTGTATTATATTGTCTCAATGAAATAACTCTTAGAGAGGGAATACGTCTTTTGATTTTCCTTTTGTTACTTCCTAAATACTTTTCATTGGCATTCTATTAGTGATTGAACTTCTGTTGGTAAATAATGTTAGTTTTCAGGCTACAAAGCAACTTGCTGTGGCAATGTATTTGTTGTTCTCCAACCGCATTGTCCCTCAGCATTTGTATTCTACAACAGAGGTGTCAAACTCAATTTCATTGAGGACTGCATCAGGTTTGTGTTTGATCTTGGGGGGAGCGTGGTGGGTGTGGCCAGGTGGGCATGGCCAGCTTGACATCACTTGTGTCAGGGGCACTTTTGGTGGCCTGAGTGTTCTGCCAGTGAAAACGGGTTCCCTAGCTCCATTTTCAGCTGCCACAGTCTCCTGCAACCCTCTGCCAGTGACAATGGAGCTCCGTTTTCACTGGCAGAGAATTGCAGGAGACCATGGCAGCATGGGAGCCCATTTTCACTGGCAGAAACACCATGGGCTGCAGGTCGGATTTAAATACCCCATGGGCCATATCCAGCCCCCGAGCCTTGAGTTTGACACCCCTGTTCTAGAAGGATATATTCAATTCAATGTATGTTTGAATTAGAATTCTGTATTGGCCAAGTGTGATTGCACACACACGGAATTTGTCTTGGTACAAATGCTCTCAGTACACATAAAAGAAAAGATACATTCGTCAAGAGTCAAGAATCATAAGGTACAGCACTTAATGATAGTCATAGGATATAATAAGCAATCAAATTATACTAGGAAACAGTCAATATAAATCGTAAGGATACAAGCGACAAAGTTACAGCATAAAGCCACAAGTGGGAGGGGATGGGTGATTAGGAGTGATGAGAAGATTAATAGTAATAGTAGTGCAGACTTTGTAAATAGTTAGACAGTGTTGAGGGAATTATTTGTTTAGCAGAGTGATGGCTTTCGGGGAAAAAACTGTCCTTGTGTCTAGTTGTTCTGGTGTACAGTGCTCTATAGAGTCGTTTTGAGGGAAGGAGTTGAAACAGTTTATGTCCAGGATGTGAGGGGTCTGTAAATATTTTCACAGCCCTCTTTTTGAATTGTGCAATATACAGGTCCTTGATTAAAGGCAGGTGGGTAGTAATTGTTTTTTCTGCAGTCCTAATTATCCTCTGAAGTCTGTGTCTGTCATGTTGGGTTGCAGAACCAAACCAGAGAGTTATAGAGGTGCAGGTGATAAGACTCAATAATTCCTCTGCAGAACTGTATCAGCAGCTCCTTGGGCAGTTTGAGTTTTCTGAGTTGGCGCAGAAAGAACATACTTTGTTGTGCTTTTTTGATGATGTTTTTGATGTTAGGTGTCCATTTTTGGTCATGAGATATAATAGAACCTAGAAATTTGAAGCTCTCTACTGTTGATACTGTGTTGTCTAGTATTGTAAGAGGTGGTAGTATGGGAGGGTTTCTTCTAAAGTCTACCACTATTTCTACGGTTTTGAGTGTGTTCAGTTCCAGACTGTTCCGGTTACATCACGAGGCAAGTTGTACAACCTCCTATCGTTGTCTTGAATGAGACCAATCACTGTTGTGCCATCTGTACACTGTTGTGTACCGAACTAGTTTCAAGATATCTGCTTTCTCCTTATCACAATTTCTCTCCAGGTGGCTTACAAAATAAAAATAATTTACAGGAAAACATAGCCAAACATTTTAAAAACCTAAGTTAAAATAACCACACAATCTTCCTCAAGAACTTTCAAAATAATAGAATTAACCTGGCTTCCACATACAAAGAAACTTGGTCCAAGGAAATCATGAGCAAATAAATGGGTTTTCAGGGCTTTTTATCAAATTAGTAGTAATTATTAATATTATAAAATTAATAATTAGTAATAATTAATGATACAGTACTCCGTAAGACCTGCAAAAAAGACCTTGCAGTAATAATATCCTGTCAGTTTGGTAACAACTGTCATCTTCCTTTTTTGTTGTTTGTTCTTGTTCCATCAAGGGTCATGTTAGTATATTCTACAAATGAAAGTTGAAAATCTTGAGATATTTTGCTACAAATCTATGAACCCAGTATAGATAAAGTAGTAGAACAAGACCTGGTCCTTTTATAGCCTGATTTTCTTTCAAAGTGTATTAGAAAAATAAATTGAATTACTTTTTGTCATTTACAGAATAAAGCACAGCTGAGAAAGAAATGGTTAATCTGAAGATCACCTTCAGAAATCCACCAATATCCCATATTGAATATGACATCACATTTTTCATGTGGACTTCTTTACAATGATATATTTATTAAAAGCTTTTTATCAGATTTCCATGACAACAAAACAGTTTACGTATGCCCTAGGAAAATGGTGATGCTTCACAGTCCGCACCGCATTTTGGAAGTAATGTTTCTATGATCCAATTAAGCTATTACAATATTCAATAACAAGTGTCCAGTGGACAAAATAAAGTTTGTTCCCTTGGTCTCATTATTCATCCACCACCAAAAAAAAAAAAAAAAAAGCATGGACAGCCTAAATACCCAGATGTCCTTCTTATAAATCTTCTTTGTGAAGGAAAACGCAGACACACAGATTACACACCAGCCTTTGGTCATTACTTCTACTGCAACTTTG